ATCACAAAGTACCAGCTGATAGCTTTTACAAATCTCTTCATTATCCTCTCTCATGGCCTCATCCCATTTAACTGTACTCATCCCCCCCTCGCCCCGGTTTCCCCCAAGCCAGGAACAACAAAAGTTTTGGATGTGTTTAAGGAGTTGATCTCGTGAAGATAAATATCGAATTTAGTCTTTAGTCCCCATTTCATTAGAATATTGGTTTGTTTTTTTTGTTTAAAAAATTTAATGGATTATGGTCAATCTAGTTTAACGCATTCCCATTCAAAAGTGTCTCTTTTCCTTCATATCGTCCAAATAACAACTTTTTTTTTTCGGGTGTACAAGTTTTGATAGAAATCATGATGGAGATTTGATACCCAAGTTTCCAACAAAATTTCTTTCCAAATCTATGACCATGGTATTTGTGGTCCTAACTCCGTCCAGATACGATTTCACCATTACCATAAGCAAATGACCCCTGGATGTTGCAAGAAAAGGTGCTTGATAGTTTCAAGAATCATATTACTTGGGAAGGCTTTACAAAACTCACACAGAGGGAAACAACCTTTTTTTGTTCCAGCGTCGTCCTATGCATCAACCAATCAATGGTGGAAATACAAAAATGCTTTATTTGTCGCTGCAAAGAGACTACCTTTGTTGGTCTCAATTTCATCATATTAAACCATTAAGTATTTTTTTTGTCATCCCGACTTAAGTTGAAATGATTCAACCATCTAGTTGAAAATTCATCCTTGCGATTTATTTTGCAACGAAGTATACTATAGGTAGATTTCACAGTAAATTTATGAAACTCTCGATTATAAAAATAACCTTTCGTTCCCTGGAAACTTCATATCCAATTAGAGGAATTTAGAGTCAATTGGGAGATTGGGGTTACAAGTGTGAACGCTATGTATGAGTTTTTCCTCCGTAAAACATAAAGTCTGAAATTTTTGTATGCTTTCACTTACGTAACTGTCCCTCAATGGTTTGGATTGATATAATTATCATGAGTTAGGTTAAGAGAATGTCCCCGAGAATTTGTCAAAAATATTGTCAATCATATGGGGATAATCTCTCGATGTTACCCAATCGTTTACCAACAATTTAGGCACATTAAGTAGGATACGAATCCATTGTAAAGGCACTAGCTCAATTAATTTCTCTAATGTCTCCACTTAATTATTACAGTACTTCAATTTACCTTACAACTTTGAGATAGAGATTCAGTCTTTTATATCTTCATGCTATTTGTCATAAATCCTGACTAAATCATATGAGGATAATATCTCAATGCTACCCAATCATTTACAAACAATTTTAGGCACACTACGCATGATAGGAATCCATTCTAAAAACATTAGCTTGATTATGTTTTTTTGTGCCCGTGATGAATTATGACATCACTGTAGTTTTCCTTGCAAATTTGAGATAAAGATTCAGTCTTTAATATCCTGATTTTCTGTGTCGTAAATCCTGACTATCTTTTTTTTTAAATCACCCCTTCCATATGGATTCTATAAAGTGAAGAGCATAACCTTAAAAATATTTAATTCATCTATTGTTGAAGAGAGGTTGTTGGCACACCTCCTCCCACATGTGAAGAAAAAGTTTATCTGTCAAGGGTGATTTCCTCCAGATTTTAAGAAGGGTGGTTTATAAAGGGTAATTGTAAAAATCGCTTCTTACTGTCATCTATCGGAGGTAGCTTGATTAGTTGACTCTTCGGAAACTCTTTTGGGACGTAATAAAAAACAATTTTATAACCACATCATGGGGTCTGTGTCATCAGGTGTAAGATGTGCTAATCTTTTGAACTGCCACTAAGTTAGTGCACCCTAAGGCGTTTGAGGGTTAAAGAGTAGTCGTTTAATCTATTTGATGGATAAGGCGATCACTTGGGTAGCTGGGTCAATGGTCCCTCATCCTCCCCTTGACTCCCGTTGCAGTACTGATTGTCATGCCACTCAACTGCTGACATTAGTATTATGCTAATAATTTTCTCTAAAAAAATAAAATTTACTTGTTGCGAGAATATTATGAGGGCAGCTTTGTCCGAAGTCCATAATGCAGATTTGTACCATATAGAGACAAGGACAACATTGTTGATAACCACCATACGACCAATTAATGAGGTGTGTTTATCTTTTTATAAATCTAGTTTATTGTGAGCTGTTGAACAATCCAATCATTATTGGATTTCGGTTTGCCCTCAAAGTCCCCCGAATACGGGATTCGAAGGGTCATAATAGAAGTGTCTCTAGATCACCATTTTATGTGAGGGAGCTAAAAGGGTCTCACTCGTTTATGATGTTTTGTTGCCCTTATTAACTTTTGTATCTGAAAGGCGACAAAATATATATATATATATATATATTTTTTTTATTGTAAAAAAATTACCATGAGATGCCTCTACCAGTAGGGAAAGATCATTAACAAATAAGAAACAAATCGGAATTGTGTCCTTAGGAATAAATGTAACCTGAATTTTCTTTATATCTTTGTGATGTATTAAGTTTGAAGTTAGAGCTTCGATTACTATTACAAATAGAAAGGGGGCAATTAGATCTCCTTTCCTCATAGATCTATACAATGACAATGAAGGAGTTATATTGTTATTGATCATCACTCTGATAGTTACATTTTTAACGAACTACTATAAAACTAATCAATTTGTGTGCAATCCTGGACCGAAAGGCAAATGAACAATCATCCGAAGTGCACAAGCACTCAAACAACCCCATGAACCAATAACATCAGACAAACATTTCAAATCTTATACCCAAAATACATCAACAATGGACTAGGACCGCTTTGTGGTGCACAAACACTGTCTGTAATAGCTTACCTGCGTCAACCCAAGGGAAGTTGTAGATGGTTATACGTTATGTAAATGCCCGCTTGTGTCCATGCGCAGTGCTGAACCCGCAAGCCACAACACGCATTTCCGACCGGTGCCCTAACCACTGGGCCACACACTATTGTTGAACGTTAGTATGGAGAATGGCCAAGGCCCTTCCATCTAGGTGTACACGCCCCGAGCAGTAGGGGTTTGGCTCTGGTTAACGACTCCAATTTATTCGCAAAAAGTTGCAGCTGCTCGAAACCGGGTCCAGAGCCTTCACCTTTTTGCCATCTTTTGTTTCCTTTTCTTCTTCCTCCCCCCCCCCTCTTCTACAAGTTATATGGCTCGCTCATTCAGGGGCCCAGCTCAATTGGTTAGGCACACAAGTGGCATTTGGGAGGTTGTGGGTTCGAACACCATGACCGCCTGCGGCGCACTTAGTGCCGACCAATTGTGATACTCGGCTTGATACGCCTGATCAGTATTAGTAGGGTACATGACCAACACGGGTGTGAGCGTGAGCATTGAGTGGGTTGTGTGTGGTGTGTGGGAGAGTGTTGGCCATGGCCAGTGCTGCTACTCTCATGGGGGGTGGGGGAAGTAGATGGGAGGAAGTAGATGGGAGGCGCAAGTACTGGCAAAATGCTCGGTCTCGGCGTTAGCCGGGCCCCCACCTGCTGCCACACCCTACCCCCTTACCACCGCCAATTAGGGCGGCCCCACCCCACCCCCTGACCACCGCCAATTAGGGCAGGGGAACAACATGCTTGCAGGGGTCCCCTGTATCGGCTTAGGTGCAGTGGAAGGTAGATAGTAAAAGGTGAAATTGAGAGAAGGGAAAAAATAATTGAAAAAAAGAAATACGGCTTCCTCCACTAATCTGCCAAATCAGAATGAATCTTCCGCTAGAACATGGAAGTATACACCTCCATATTGTTTTTGTCTTTTGTGTGGGTGGAGAGGAGAGTAGTGGAGCGAGGCACCCATTGGCAAGCAAAGAAAACAGACAACACGTTTCTGGCCCGGCAAGCCAAAACAAGAACTGCCCTTTTGCGCGTGAAATCTCACCGCAGGTAGGACCGCCAACAGGAGATGCGCATGGGCACTTTTCTTTCTTCTTTTTTTATTTCCCCTGGCCAAATAATTATTAAATTCTCACGAAATGGTGAACTGGCGCGCGTATCTCCTCCCAACACGAGGAAATATTCGCCCACCAGTTTGTGTTCTGACAATCGCAACTCTTGCCACGCACAGATGACAAAAATCATGGTGGTGTATCTGTCCATGTTCTATGTGATGATTCACTCTCGTTTGGCACACGTGTAGAGTGGTGGGGCGAGGCCCTATTAGACGATGCTTGCACTACAGGAGAATTCCGTTCCCGGGGTTGTATACCGACGAGCAGGCTGGCATGCGCGAAGTAAAGGGGTCGTCTAGCCCTACCCCTCGTTGTCGCAACCAGCCCCTGCATGGGGCATTGTCCCACTTGTGCAAACTACGAGATTTCGCCCGTTGATCATTGCTATCTACGGTCTGCATCTCATAATTCGTGCAAGTGGGACCTAGCCCCCGGACTTTTTATAACCGACTTTTCCTGGACGTAGGGATATCGCTCGCCATTGTTTCATCTTCATTTCCTCACGATTGAACGTGGGGTGATGATTTGTCTTTCCCTCTTTCCTCGAGAAAGTTGATTTCTTCTTTCTTTCTCCCTCCCGCTTGAGCATTGGCCGTTCTTCTTCTTCTTCTTCTTCTTCTTCTACTTCTTCTTCTTCTTAAGACATACACACACACACACACACACACACACACACACACACACACACACACACACAGAGAGAGAGAGAGAGAGAGAGAGAGAGAGAGAGAGAGAGA